TCCTTCCTTAACATCTTCATCAAGACAATTACCTCTCAGAAAGATCCAAGGTCTTAGGTTTCGATCCTTGTACTTATTTTTGTTGGGAAGTCCATCCTTATACTCGACCAAAGAAATTTTTGCCATCACCGGCGCAAAGTTGATATCATTCTTCAACTCCCACTCCATTCTACCACAAGATTCATCTAGAAACCAAACCTGAAGCTGGTGTTGAACATTATGATAAATCAAAGCACAATACACCCCATTGCTTGATTTTCCAAGATAAAGATGTGTAGAACCATCCATTTTGCCGCCCGTTGGCGATTTAATCACTTGATACGCACCATCCGATAAGGTTATGCTGCAAATTAAGTTGAGACGCCAACGGGTGAGTATAAAATATATGCATGTTAATAAGAACACATATATTAACAAAACGAGTGTTTGAACTTGTTGAATTATGTATTTTGGCTTGGTCAAACTTAAGCAAGTTTGATTTAGGACAAACCGGCAACAACTGCAATTATATATTTTTTGGAATGAAGGTATTACAATTTACTGTATTAAGCAATGAGTTTCATCAGACTCTAAATGAGTCCAAATCTACAATAAAGAAAAAAGAGAGGCCGCACCCAGTTAATTAAATTGAGAGAGGCCCCGGTGAGTAAATGCATATACATACCGCATGATGGAGTCATTTTGACAGTGCACATAAAGCGCTCCTTTCCAGTAGACGGTGTAACAGCGTTGGAACATTGTATATTGCTGCATGTCGGCGATGGTGCCTGCAGCCTCTCCTCTGCGGAGGAACGACCTCTCCTCCCATCTCCATGTCCTTGAAGAGAAAACTCGTATTGCACATGACGAGGGCGGCCACTCTGATTCCTCCGTAAGGGCCTCTTTGATTCACAGGATTTTGGAAATGTAGGAATAGAAAAAGTATAGGATTGCAAATATTGTCGCCGTGGGATCAAGATTGCAGTGGACGCTAGAAACCATATATACCTCATAGTCGGGGGACACGGTGGGGTCAAAGGCAAGGCAGACGTCGTCGTAGAAGCCCTCCATCCCACTCTCGGTGCACCGGCGGCGGGGGCGGAGGCAGGCGCACCCATTGCCGTGTGGCCGGGTTGAGCACCAGGTGGTCGTGGCCCGACAACAGGAGAAGCCCGTTGCAGTGATTCGTAATGCGTAAATCATCCTCCTCCACGTAGTCAAGGTTTGCGTCGATTCTAGGGCTCGTCAGCGGGTTTGCGAAGAGCTTTGGGGGGTCCGCGCAGAGGACATCTATCTCCATGAAGAAGATCCCGTAGAGCGAGAGCGGGAGGAGGTCCGTCCGCAGCAGGCGGCGGCCGTCGATGACGTCGCGCCAGCCTTTGCAGACGCAGCGGGACGCGGCGAGGCTGCGTGGCTCGAGACGGCCGAGGACGCATGTGAGGATGTCGTCGGGCACGGGCAGCAGCTGCGCGTGCGCCGCCACACCGGCCATGGGTTGATCGCGATGATCGCCGGCTTCCATGTGAATCGAGTGATGATCGATCGGCGCAGCTCTTGCTCGGGGACTCTATACACGACGTATCGATGGAGGCGCTAGCTCTTGCAAAAAGGTTGAGTATTATAAGAGGAGACGGGCTAGGGCTAGCTCTTCCGATCCGGGGAGACGTCGGTCGTATACGTCGATACAGCTAGCGCGGCCACGTACGGTACAGCGCCACGTACGCGCTTGCACGTCGAATCAACGGCTGGCATGCATGCCGTCGCGCGTACGCGTTCGTGCGTTAGCTTTATATATATACGGTTTCCTTTTTGAACTACACAAGAGATGTAGATCCCATAATAGATATGTTTGTCCGTTCAAAAAGGAGATACCTTATTATACTTATCGAAATTATATATATGATTGACACAATCGTATCCGAAAAGACTTTCAATTTATTCATCGCCTGTCACTGTCAGGGCTGTTGGAATATTTGTAATCCTGTCGTTTATTTTCAGCAAATAAACCGGTCCATGCCAACAACCACCATTGTTGCTCCCACTTAGAGCGATCACGGTCTAGTAACGAGAGAAGTACTCTTCGGTAATGCCTCCAAGGAAGGAGAAGACGCACACCAGTACTCTCATCACCGATAACGACCCCCATTGAATCCAAAGCTTTTGCCTAGAGGGAGCCTCATACCTCTACACCTCCGCAACCCAATGAGGGAGCCTAACTGCTACAAAACTACAAGATCGAACCGCGGCCCCGCTCATATTCATTAAGGGCAAACCATACAATCGTAGCAGAAGGACAACACAAGCGAACCACACCATGGAGTAATTCTTGAACTAACACCGACACCACCCCCACCATCGCGAGCTTTGCCCGACGGAGGCATTGGTGATGTTGATGCGAAGGATGAGGAGGAGGGGCTGGGTCGCCACCCATGTCGCCCCAGGGAGGGAGTGTCTTGGGGGCTGGGGCCTTTGGTCGCGACTTAGAGATTAGCATGTAAGCAAATATCCTGTCGATACAAACAAATACATCAGTTGGTCCTTTCATAACTCATTGTTCCTTTGGACACAACAAGTACAAACATAGCACATCCATCACTTATAGTTTGCATATGCATGGTAAATTCATTTATAGCATTCTAATGCACCTTTCATACAAAAGAAAATAACACATATAGAGGAAATAAAAATAGGACGGGAGCCGGTTGTTAAAATCGTATTCTATGAGAATTCATATCCCTGAACATAATTTAGAAAAACTGGTGCCTGTCCAGATTGTGTCTGGTTGTCTCAGGCTCTGGGTTTTTCGGCACCATGTAAGCAAGAATGTACACTTGCCAAAACAATTAGTATGCGACTGTTTTGTAGTCCAGAGGGGACGCGGCTCCTCTGACATACAGCGCACACACTGACGTGTGGACCCGGACCCACGCGTCAGTGGCCAAACGTCAGGGGATCCGGCTCCGTCCAGAGGGGCAGTCGTTGTACAGTTCATGTGCATGCTTGTGATGCTCCAATGTGAAAGATGTGATGTTCTTGCATGGTAGCATCTAAAGAAATGTGTTCTGAGGTCTTTGGTTCAGTTACAAAACAACATCACAACAGTTATTTCTAAAGTTGTTTCCCTCGTACTTAATATTACAGAGTTATAACTGTTGGGCTTTCCAACTGTCCGAAGAATAATTTCCACAAAAAACTGCTTTTTTTTTGCCAAAGATAGCAATGAGCCACCACACAACAGTTACATAAGCTGATACAAGAGCAAATCTTTCAATTTTCTCAACTGCTATGCACGGCTTAAAACAGAAGCTCGGTCAAACAAATGTATAGATGAAGATGACACATGCCATCCCATACAACCTACAGTAGGGCTGGACGCTCGAGCGAGCTTTTTAGCTCGGCCCGAAGCTCGGTTCAGCTCGGCCCGACTCAGCTCGGCCCGATAAGAAAATAGGCCGAGCCGAGCTCCAAATTTCGGCCCGTTCGGCGAGCGAGCCGAGCCTGTTTTCGCTCGGTCCAGCTCGGTGGCTCGTTTCATAGCCCAGTTAGTTTTTTTTAGGAATTTGCAGCCCGGTGTAAAGACAGCAGCCAACGCGAGTAGCCCAAGCCCACTACGAAGCATTGCCTCCACTACCCGACGTCGGCCTCCTCGGTCCTCTACTCACGAAATTCCCCCATGCCTAGGGTTTCTGCCGCGCCGCGCCGCCGCTCTCGCCACCACCTGAAGCCGTCCTTCTCGTTGTCGCGCCCGATGTGGCGTCGTCCTCGCCGCGCCCGATACTGGAGGGCTCTCTCTCCGGACCGACGACGAACATGCCCTTTCGTCGCCGTGTTGGACGCCGCCGTTCCTCGCTGACATGGTGCCTACTGCCTAGCCAAGCTTCTGCTGCCGTCCCCAGCATCTGCCGCCGCGTTGGATGCCGCCGTTCGTCGCTCACTTGGAGGCATAAGCAGGTATGACCTACCTGGCTCACTCCCGTCCTTGCCCCCCTCTTCTGACAATGACTCCGGCACCCAACTCGCCGGCGTCGCCGTCGGCGTCGGCGGCGCGCACGCAGACTGCACGCGCTCAGGCTCACGCACACATCGGCGGCTAGTAGGCATACTGTATGCATTCGCTGCTACTTACGGACGCGCGCAAGCACACATACTACACAGGCGTACACACACATAGTAATACGAACACGAGCTGATCGGGCTGGACCGAGCCGGAGGCAAAACGAGCCGAGCCTCCAAAACTAGGCTCGTTCATCCAGCGAGCCGAGCCGAGCTTGGCTCGTTTTAGGCGAGCCAAAGCCAGGCTCGGACTGAACTCGGCTCGGCTCGGCTCGTGTCCAGCCCTAACCTACAGCAGAGTAAGACTGCACTTGAAAAGAGGACGAAAAGTTGGCGTTCAAAGCCAGAAGAAGCAATCTTACAATATTTTGCCAATTACTTCTGGTGGATATCCAGTTATTTCATAGAGCTAGACCTAGTCTTAGCTTTTCCATGTTTCCAGTACATCACCAGCATAGATAAACTGTACACTTATAACATAAAGCATTGGAATTGTTACTTTAATCAAATTACATAATGGACTTGAATGGATTGACATCTACTATATCAAGTTTACACGATATGACTTCAAGTAATTATTCCAACGTTTCATAAGTGAAACCGACACATCTACTTGTCTGGGACGTTTTGGATGCTCTTTGCCCTGTAAAGAATAACAAGACCACGTTAGCAATTGTACACAGAGTCTTTTTTTCCGAGGTTACAGATCCTCAACAACAACAACAACAACAACAACAACAACAACAACAACAACAACAACAACAACAACAACAACAACAACAACAACAACAAAACCTAACGTCTTGGCTGCAGTCACACTTCTTGGTCTTCTTGCGTCGGACCTCACCTGATAACAATTGTATATAACCCATCTCCATGCAGGCTCCCAGCCAGAGCTACAGTCAAGCGAGAGCCGACAGACACCAACCACATCCACATTCAGATTCGCAGAGAAGCAAGCAACAAGCATGGCCAAGATCATGTTCGTCCTTCTGCTCCTCTGTCCCCTCCTCGCCCAATCCCATGCCACCACCACTTTCAAAGAGATTTCATCACAGCTGCAAAACCAGAGATTCGTCGAGTTGGACGAGGCCCTGCAGAGGGCCCTGCCGCTTCGTCAGCCACCTCCCCCGAGGTCGGTTGTCCTGGACGCTGCCGAAGCAGATGCAGTGAAGGAGAGCCTCCTGATCTTGGTGCGGGCTCTCACGGAGGGGCTCAACGGTCGCCGCGGCCTCCTGAGCTTCCACAACCACGGCGAGGAGGAACCCGCGGCGGCGGCGTCACCGAAGGAAACCGTGGCTTGACGTCCTGCATGAAGCGTTTATAGTTTATATTCCCCTAAAGCTCCTGTAACCTGTCTGGGGAGCAACTAAGAAGTAGTCTATGATGTAATCCTTCTGTCCTGTGCACGCGCCGTCAGTCTAATGTGGTTGTATGTTGTGGTATCAGTTATTAATATACATGAAATTGTGTTGTCCAAAAATGACGTAGCAATTGGGAAACTGATTCTGTCCGGCTTCCAAATGACTGTAGCGTAGCCGCTCGCTCGTGTCAATCCCCTCCTCTATCTATACGCCACTCCGTCACCGCCACCTGCTGCTGCAACCCCGCCTTGCAAGTCAGTCGGGGGCCTGCAGCCCACACGTGTACAGAGCTGCGAGCGGGCAGAGTATAATGCCCAACAACACCGGTAGTGCTTCAGAAACATCTCCCCCATAAATAATACAGGCAACGAGAGCTCCATGAAGATTTGACAAGAAGATGGCCCTCATTGCTCGCTGAACCAGATCGAGCCTCGGCCTGCTCGACTAGCTCAACTAGTGGATTGGCATTTTTGGCAACCTTAGCTTGGCCTGCTTCTTCCTCATGGAAAGGGAAGCAACGAGTCTCAGCCTCCTCTTCTCTCGCGGTCGCGGTCGCCGTCGCCGTCGCCGGCGTCCCAAGTCCAAGTCACACGCGCACCCCGCACGCGGATGGATTGCTACGTCTAGTATATATAGAGATATGGATGGTTTGGACTTGGGAGTTGGAACAAGGATGGGGTCGTCCATGGCTAGAGGGAAGGTCGTGCCGCGGATCGGTGAGGTGGCGCAAGGCAAGGAAGGCCAATGCCATGGATCAGTGAGGTGGCGCAGGTGCAGGGCTGAGGTGGCGCAAGAGATTATTACTTGGCTTTCCAATGGTCTGTATTTATTTATTTTAGCAAACTATAACTTTTTCCATGCCAGTGGAGCTATTCAGTTCCGCTTTCTTTGAAAATCAACGGCTCTAGAGTTTGTAATTTATTTATCTAGGTTCAAGCGAGGGATCCTTCTTCTCTCTTATTTTAGCAAACTGACTTTTCCAAGTGTGCTTTTTTCATTGAGGATGTCAAAAACAATGGTTCTAGAGTTTGTAAACCTGTTTTTTTATCTATCCAATGTTCAAGCCACCCTTTTCTCTTATTCACCTGACAAGAATAACAAGCATGTGCTAACAAAGCAAAGCAAATGGATCTTGTAACATGTTCGAACAAGAATAGGCATGGATCCTCAAACAAGGACAAATAGATTATGTTTAGATCCTCAAACAAGTAGACACATTTGGTTTTATTGCATCTTTCAGCAACATAGATCGGCTGCACACACACACACACACACACACACACACCCTTCCTATTTCAAAGTTTCAAACACAAACCAAAACCATATACATCTTCTGCCTGGGAATGAAATAACAAGGCGCCTTTGGCATGGTCGGTCCGAATTCCTCTGGCGTCCATGGCAACAATGGGACGTCCGATCAAGCCACCAGGCTCGGACGCCAACGTATGCTGCTCCTGGGCCCCGCCTCTCGCATATACGCTGGCTCTAATCTGCGTGCATGAGAAAAGCAAGTCACGTATACCATATTACAGATACAGAAGGAGATGAACAATGCAGATTCCAAAATGCTGCTTATATACTGAGAAACCATCAAACAAGAACATCCAAGAAATCAACTAATAAACCTGACAGCAATATCAACCAAATACCCTAGGAGGCTGAGCATTCTAACATTTCATCGACAACATACCAAATTAGAACATGAGCAGAAGAAGCCCGCTGCACGGAACAATAACCTGATACAGCACCAAACATAACTAAACCACAGTTTATAGGTGGCCAGATGATGGTCTTTTGTATTGACACAATAGCACCAAACTTAAGTAACTGTATCAACACAATAACACTGAACTTTGGTCAAAGTCTCCCTGTTTTTTCGTAGTGCACACATCCAAGACCGATCTATGTATTGCCTAATTCACAAACGCTAACAAGGCTCTAAGCAATCAGCAGTATACTTGAACCTGCCAGGTTGCAATGGTGCAATAGTCTAAACAATAATCATTTTCAGTCAATTTGTTGGCACCACATCTCCTTCAGGGATCAATGAGAATAAACATTAACATACCTTAAGTCCAACCAGGGGCTCTAGGGTCCATCTTGTCGATGGATTGCTCCGACGACTGCGGCAAACCTTCTGGCACGCATCATAGAGCAGCCTCACTGACACAAATCTGAGCATGAAGTGTACATGGCAATGATCCGAGTTCCTCTGGGAATTAAACAAGGCGCCGTTGGCATGGTCCTAGTTCCTCCAGCGTCCATGGCAACGATGGTGTGCCTGCTGGACAGACCTGACATGCTCCGATGAAGCCACCCGGCTCGGATGCTAACATATGTTGCTGCCTCTCGCACATATGCTCTAATCTGCATGCATAAGAAAAGCAAGTCAATAGGCCTACTCTCGCATAGGCTTAAACAATGCAGATTCCAGAACACTTGTATACTGATAACTGAAACCACCAAACAAGACGGCCAAGAAATCAACTAAACCTAACAGAAACCGAATTCACTAGGAGGCTCACCATGGCATACACCATCCTAACATTTCATCAACACCGTGCCAAATTAGGACATGAAGAGAAGAACGCTTCTCGCACAGAACCACAGATTATGGGTGGCCACATGATGGTCACCATCACAGGAAAGCATCCACAATCAGCTCGAGGGCCCACTACCAGAAAAACTGGGGTTGCCGACGGCCAAATCTATGCCGACGGCCCCCGTCGGCATCGCCGGACCTATACCGACGGCCAAGGATAGGCCGTAGGCGTAGAAAAGCCGTCGGCATACATCCATCTATGCCGACGGTGCCGTCGGAATAGACGAGGCCGTCGGGACCGCCCGAGATACGCCTACGGGGCCCGTCGGCATAGGACAGGCCGTCGGCATAGCCCATGCCCACCTCCCCGGTCAGTGCTGACCACTTGACGGCGTTTATCCTACGCCGACGGGCGGTAACGGCGGCCGTCGGCATATCTGTGGCAGAGGTATGCCTACGGCATAGCCGCCGGCATAGGCCCCTCTGCCACGTCAACGATCCGTGTGCCACACCACGTCATCGATCCGTGTGTGCACAGATATGCCGACGGCCTTGCCGTCGGCATATCTTTACTTTACTTAATTTTTTATTTTATCTGTGGCAGAGATATGCCTACGGCACAGCCGTCGGCATAGGCCCCTTCGCCACGTCATCGATCAGTGTGCCACGCCACGTCATCGATCCGTGGGACAACCTGCGTGTGTGCAAGGCCGTCGGCATACGTGTATTTTATTTTATTTTTTTATTTTTACTTTGTTTTGTTATTTTTACTTTATTTTAGTTTTTGCTTTTGCATAAGATAATTATGCCTTATCTAAAAAAACATACCCGATGGTATATCGATTGCCCCCCGTTACGAACATCGCTATCGCCGTGTCACGGAGGGGGGAAACGGTCAACACGGAAGGAATTCTGGTTGGTGGGGGGATTCGGGGTGTAGCTATATCACCGAAACATCGCACGGGTCCCGATGCATATGTGAAAGTGTTCATGCATGCGTAGACGCCCGTCTTGGGGCTCCGGGGTGTGCCCCCCCTCACGGACGGTGCTGCCGCCGGCACCTGGAGGGGGGAAACGGACGCGTGGGGTCTACACGGAGGGGATCTTGCTGTGGGTCTGGCCCGGATGTTGCTCCAAAGTGTTCCTATGGGCTGACCTAACACAACCGGGTGGGGAGGTCCACTGGTCAAAGCCCGTCCGTGCAAAGTCAAAGGGGTAGATCCCGTGGTCAAACGCTACAGGGTTAGGCGGGACGGGGGCACTGGGGGGTAGCAATGCCACCGGAGCGTCGCACCGGGCCCTCATACATGCGGGGTGGTGTGGTGGCATGTCCGAAGAGGCGGGACGCGTCTCCGGTGCGTGGCCCCCCTCACGGACGGCGATGACACGGTAGTAGACGTTCTGCGGTAACGATGTGGCGTCAATATTACTAAATACTTGGAGCGCGATAAAATCATGAGTTTTTTTGCACGACGTGGGCACATGTGCTATAGGAACGATGGTATTTTTTCATAATTTTTGGTGATGGAGAAGTATCCGAAAAATTCCCTCTACGCGGATTGCCCTTCGCGCGTCTACGGCTGTGGCCGGCGGCCTCCGGGGGCTAGCATGCCGCTAAATCTTGCGCCGGCGGCCTCTCACAAGTCTCGAAGTGTTGTGGCGGTTGCAAACGCCCGGCACGCTTGTCCGGGGTGTGCCCCCCTCACGGATGGCGCTGCCGCCGGCACCTGGAGGGGGGAAACGGACGCGCGGGGTCTACACGGAGGGGATCTTGCTGTGGGTCTGGCCCGGATGTTGCTCCAAAGTGTTCCTATGGGCTGACCTAACACAACCGGGTGGGGAGGTCCACTGGTCAAAGCCCGTCCGTGCAAAGTCAAAGGGGTAGATCCCATGGTCAAACGCTACAGGTTTAGGCGGGACGGGGGCACTGGGGGGTAGCAATGCCACCGGAGCGTCGCATCGGGCCCTCATACATGCGGGGTGGTGTGGTGGCATGTCCGAAGAGGCGGGACGCGTCTCCGGTGCGTGGCCCCTCTCACGGACGGCGATGACACGGTAGTAGACATTCTGCGGTAACGATGCGGCGTCAATATTACTAAATACTCGGAGCGCGATAAAATCATGAGTTTTTTTGCACGACGTGGGCACATGTGCTATAGGAACGATGGTATTTTTTCATAATTTTTGTGATGGAGAAGTATCCGAAAAATTCCCTCTACGCGGATTGCCCTTTGCGCGTCTACGGCTGTGGCCGGCGGCCTCCGGGGGCTAGCATGCTGCCAAATCTTGCGCCAGCGGCCTCTCACAAGTTTGGAAGTGTTGTGGCAGTTGCAAACGCCCGGCACGCGTGTCCGGGGTGTGCCCCCCACACGGACGGCGCCGCCGCCGGCACCTGGAG